CGGGAGGAGGGAGCCAGGCGGGGCCACGCAGGGGAGCACATGGCCTCGGCACGTCAGCCCAGGCACCACCCAGGGGCCACCCATCCGGCCTCCCCAGCCCGTGGCCCAGGAGACTGGCCAGGCCGGGCCCACTGCTGACCCAGCGGGCCAGTGAGGGCACAATGAGGGCCTGTGAGCAGGGAGCGGCCGGCCCTGGGCTGCAGGGGGACAGGGCCCAGCCCACTACCCCGACATACTTGCTAGGAAACAGCGCTGACTGAGGCAGAACTGTAGCCTTTCTCGACGCCAGGCGGACCAAGACAGAGGGCAGCTGCCCAGCACGTGGTCCCAAGGCCCACCAACCCCTGGAAAGACCAGCCTGGACAGCTGGCGCTCACTGGGACGCCCTAAGGCCCACCTACAGCAGACACACCAGGGCCCCGCCCGCTCTCCAAGCCCCGCCTGCCCCTGCCCTCCTGTCCACGGGGCCTCCTGCTGGCTTTCTCCTCAGCGCTAGGGGCTCCTAGGGGTGCCCGCGAGGCACACAGCCAGGGAGCGGGGCAGCTGGTCCCAGGCAGCCCGACCCGAGACCCAGGCCGTGGCCGTGATCCTGCTCCTCGACCCCACAGGCTCCATGGAGCTGCTCAGGCACCTGGACTCATGTCCTGAGCTCCTTCCTGACCAAGTCGAGAGCCCACAGGCCCTGGACAGTGCGGGCACACCCTCTGGTGACCCCGCCTGTGCCCACCCTTGAGGCCCTCCCCGTGGGACGCCAACGCACTTGGCGAACTTCACGGTGGTGGCGTTCCGAGGCACGAACCCCGTGTGGAACTGGACCTGGAACATCTTCATGGACGCCATCTGCAGGGAGAGCACACCGGGAGCTGGGAGGGGCCGGGCCCCCCGTCACACCCCACGAGCCCGAGGGCCCTGTACAAGCTCCCGGTGCTGAGCCCTGGGCGTGGGGACCGCACCCTCTCCCACAGCGGCTCCTCGGGCTCTAGGATCCCACAGAGATGGCAGTGCCGACCTGGGGGGCCGGCAGGAAGGAGAGGCCCACGGAGCGCGCTCACCTTGGCCTGCAGCCTGCCTCCCAGGGTGGACCGCGCATGGTAGATGGCGATGAGCACGTCCCCTTGGACAGCCGTGCCCAGAGGGATGACCGCCTTGCCGTCCTCGATCCTGAAATCCCTGTGGGGAGGATGGGCGGGTCCCCGTGAGACAAAGCCAGGCCATGGGGCGGCACAGCAAGGCCTGGGACACAGCATGCCGGCCCAGCAGTCTCAGCTCCCTGGTTTTGCTGCGAACTACCCTGGGGGGACATTGCTCCAGGCAATACTTCCATGGAGCGTCTCAGCACGCCGTCGTGGGGAGCTTGCCGCCCAGCGGGGGCCTGTCTGCTCGCCTCGGGACCTGAGGCGGGGCTCCAGCCGCCAGGGTCCCCCCCATCCTCCCGACGGGCCCTCGTGGCCCTGGCTTGCGCTCACCGCATCCTGTCGTACTCCTGGGACGTGGTGGCCACGCGCTCGTCCCCGACATAGACCTCGCAGAAGGGCCGACAGCCACTCCTCTGCTTGTTGAACAGCGGCACGGGCGTCATGACGATGGCCCGCACCAGGATTGGCTTGCTGTGGGGCGTGATGGGCTCCTCCGCCACCATGTCACACATGTACTCGATGTACCTGGAGGAGACACAGCACATCACACACGTGCTACACACCAGGGCCCCGCCCGCTCTCCAAGTCTGCATGGCCACACACATCACACACATGCTCTGTGCACGGCCACATACCATGTCGCACACGTGCTCTGCATGGCCGCACACATCACACACATGCCCTGCATGGCTATACACATCACATGCATGCTGTGCACGGCCGCACACGTCACACATGCACACAACCCCTTAATAGGTTCTAGTTCCATCTCCCAAGCGTGATGCTGTAATTTTCACTCAGTTCAGAATGCTGTCACATGTCGTGGGTTATTAAGTCGACCGGTTAACTCTGAAACACTGAGGGGTTCCCCAGCCCTGTCACAACTTCTACCTGAATTCCCTTTAGCCCGTGACGTTTTGTAGTGTCCAGTCCAGTGATGGCGAACCTCTGAGCTCGGCGTGTCAGCGTTTTGAAAAACCCTAACTTCACTCTGGTGCCGTGTCACATATAGAAGTTTTTTTTGATATTTGCAACCACAGTAAAACAAAGACTTATATTTTTGACATCTATTTTATATATTTAAATGCCATTGAACAAAGAAAAATCAACCAAAAAAATGAGTTCGCGTGTCACCTCCGACAGCGTGTCACAGGTTCGCCATCGCTGCTCTAGTCTAACTTGGCTGTGGTTAAAGGGCCCGCGTGCGGCTGTTCTCGCTGAACACTGCGTTCCTGGGAAGGATGCGTCCCGCCGGGGAACATCCTGTGGGCATCAGGGAGACCCGCTGGGTGGGGCCGACTTCAGTGCCTGCGCTGTCTGTCCTTCTGGGAGGGTGGGTGCTGGCCCCACCGCCTGGGATCCTGGGAGGGCGTCTCTCCTGGCTCCGCTGTGTCTGCTCCGTGAGTCCTCGCACTCCGGCACGTCTCCACAGCGCCCCCTGCGGCTGGGCTCCTGCCGGGGGACCCCTCCTTCACTTGCTTCTAATCAGCAGGAGGGATGGGCAGTGCCTTCCGTGCAGTCACGCTCTCGCCAGCCCAGCGGACTTGTCTTGGGCTCTCACCAAACCCCAGCAGGAGGCCGATGCCGGGACCTCAGCCACAGGCAAACCCGAGAGCTGGGAAGCGGGTTGGGGCTCAGAGCGGAGTTCCTGGGAGCACCGCCCGCTCCGGACGGCAGGGCGGCCGGGCCCAGAACTGGGCGGGAGTCCAGGCGGCTGCGCCACGGCTGACCCTCAGACTCCCTCACTGACCGCAGCCCGGCCAGGCTCTGTCCCGAGTGCAGACGGCCCCGCGCTGGCCTGTGCATTCGTGTGTGTGTGCATTCGTGTGCATGTATGTGCGTGTGTGCATTCGTGTGCATGTATGTGCGTGGACCGTGTGCTTCCGGGTCAGCGACGAATGCCATGACGACGGGGGAGGGGTCACTGGCATCGAGCCTCCGAACCCCACGGCCGCAGTGCTGCTGGGGGGACTGCGTGAGCGCTGAGTGCACGCCGCCCCCCACAGAGCAACCACTAGAAGGAAACAAGTGTAACACGTGCCAAGAAGGGCGAGTGTGGAACCAAATAAAATACTCAGTTCAAACCACAAATGGCCGAAGAAGAGTGAAGATAAAGACCGGGACAAAGAGCAGAGCGCTGAGGGGGAAGCGGCAACAGATGGGGCAGATGCTGGCTCACCCTCCGGCCAGGGCTGGTTTGTCAGCTGCTCCGCCGGGTTCTCCTCCCTGGTCTTCTCTTGGCGGCTGAGCAGGCTCCAGCGCTCAGTGCTTCCCCCGCTGCCCCGGGTTCTCACGGGACCTTCTGCAATGGCTGCCTGCAGTTTCCGCTCACCTGAGCGTGGCTTCCACGGGGAGCACAGGCCAGCAGCTGGCCTTCTGTGTCGATCTGTGCTGCTCAATCCTGCTGGGTCCTGGGCACCTGAGGTTTGGTGCGTCATGACCTTGAGGAAGTTCCCGGCGCCTGGCTGGTCAGAGCTCCGTGACCCCACCCAGGAGGGTGTGGCGGGCGGCGTCCAGCACCTTCTGGGGTCCTCTCTTGCTGGCCCTTGGAGACCGACACGTGGGAGGTGGCCTTCACCGCGCCTGTGCGGCCAGGCCCAGCATCTCCAGGCCTCTCCCTCGCAGCCTCCCTGCCTCCCTGCCCTGCAGGTGCCGCCTTCCCTTCAGTGTCTGCAACACCATACTCAGCCGCAGCGAAGCTCCCGTCAGGCACCTCTAGGCACCTGCCTGTGCCCCTGGAGCCACACCCCAACCCATCTGTGAGCGTGCCTTGGGGACTTGAGGACGGACTCCCCAATCTCTGCGGTCTCCTGCTTCTGCACACGCGCTGACCACTGGCTGGCCCTCCTCTGGCCCCGGCTCACGTCCTTGGCTTCGACTGCGGACGGGCCCATTGCTCTGAGGACCAAGCGCTGTTCCCGAGTCTGAAGCGGGTCCCACTGCTTTTTAAGTAGCTCTGCACACACGCACGTCCCCGAGGAAGCAGCTGGGGTCGGGGGTCCCAGTGTCAGGCCACTCCCCACTAACAGCCCTCCTCCCGCTCTGCCCGATGGTGAGCGGCTGCTCACGGATCCCACGCGGCTCCGGACCCTCAGCACAGCTGGAATTCAGGAGCAAAAATGGCTCTCAGGCCCGCATGGCTCAGTGGCTGAGCGTCAACCCATGAACCAGGAAGTCACAGCTCTATTCCCGGTCGGGGCACATGCCCGGGTTGTGGGCTCCACCCCTAGCGGGTGCCTGCAGGAGGCAGCCGATGGGTGTTCTCTCATTGACGTTCCTCCCTCTCTCTCTCCCTCTCCCTCTCTCTCTAAAAAAATCAATAAAAACATTTTTTTAAAAAAGCCCCACGAATGTCCTATCATTCAATTCCCATAAGCAGACTTCGTTGTCACCTTCATTTTACACATGAGGAAACTGAGGGAGGAACCCTGAGTGCCCAAGATGAGACTTGAACCTAGATCTTTTGACCACAAGTTCAGGGCTCTTTGCTTTTCACCATACTGCTAGGTCTCCAATCCTGTAAAATTTTCTTGGAAAGGAAATTGTACCGATTTAGTGTCTAGAATGGAAGGAGGCTCCCTGTAAACCTTTTCATTTGTTTTCCACTTTTTATAGCTGATGCAGTTTACATGGAAGGCCATAAAATAGAATGATTAAGAGTAAGGACAGTGTGGCCACACCCCGTGACAGGCAGAGACCCCGCACCACCCATCTCCGAGCCGGCAGTCTCCATGCCCCATGATAGGCAGAGACCCCGCACCACCCATCTCTGAGCCGGCGGTCTCCACACCCCGTGACAGGCAGAGACCCCGCACCACCCATCTCCGAGCCGGCAGTCTCCATGCCCCATGATAGGCAGAGACCCCGCACCACCCATCTCTGAGCCGGCGGTCTCCACACCCCGTGACAGGCAGAGACCCCGCACCACCCATCTCCGAGCCGGCAGTCTCCATGCCCCATGATAGGCAGAGACCCCGCACCACCCATCTCTGAGCCGGCGGTCTCCACACCCCGTGACAGGCAGAGACCCCGCACCACCCATCTCCGAGCCGGCAGTCTCCATGCCCCATGATAGGCAGAGACCCCGCACCACCCATCTCTGAGCCGGCGGTCTCCACACCCCGTGACAGGCAGAGACCCCGCACCACCCATCTCCGAGCCGGCAGTCTCCATGCCCCATGATAGGCAGAGACCCCGCACCACCCATCTCTGAGCCGGCGGTCTCCACACCCCGTGACAGGCAGAGACCCCGCACCACCCATCTCCGAGCCGGCAGTCTCCATGCCCCATGATAGGCAGAGACCCCGCACCACCCATCTCTGAGCCGGCGGTCTCCACACCCCGTGACAGGCAGAGACCCCGCACCACCCATCTCCGAGCCGGCAGTCTCCATGCCCCATGATAGGCAGAGACCCCGCACCACCCATCTCTGAGCCGGCGGTCTCCACACCCCGTGACAGGCAGAGACCCCGCACCACCCATCTCCGAGCCGGCAGTCTCCATGCCCCATGATAGGCAGAGACCCCGCACCACCCATCTCTGAGCCGGCGGTCTCCACACCCCGTGACAGGCAGAGACCCCGCACCACCCATCTCCGAGCCGGCAGTCTCCATGCCCCATGATAGGCAGAGACCCCGCACCACCCATCTCTGAGCCGGCGGTCTCCACACCCCGTGACAGGCAGAGACCCCGCACCACCCATCTCCGAGCCGGCAGTCTCCATGCCCCATGATAGGCAGAGACCCCGCACCACCCATCTCTGAGCCGGCGGTCTCCACACCCCGTGACAGGCAGAGACCCCGCACCACCCATCTCCGAGCCGGCAGTCTCCATGCCCCATGATAGGCAGAGACCCCGCACCACCCATCTCTGAGCCGGCGGTCTCCACACCCCGTGACAGGCAGAGACCCCGCACCACCCATCTCCGAGCCGGCAGTCTCCATGCCCCATGATAGGCAGAGACCCCGCACCACCCATCTCTGAGCCGGCGGTCTCCACACCCCGTGACAGGCAGAGACCCCGCACCACCCATCTCCGAGCCGGCAGTCTCCATGCCCCATGATAGGCAGAGACCCCGCACCACCCATCTCTGAGCCGGCGGTCTCCACACCCCGTGACAGGCAGAGACCCCGCACCACCCATCTCCGAGCCGGCAGTCTCCATGCCCCATGATAGGCAGAGACCCCGCACCACCCATCTCTGAGCCGGCGGTCTCCACACCCCGTGACAGGCAGAGACCCCGCACCACCCATCTCCGAGCCGGCAGTCTCCATGCCCCATGATAGGCAGAGACCCCGCACCACCCATCTCTGAGCCGGCGGTCTCCACACCCCGTGACAGGCAGAGACCCCGCACCACCCATCTCCGAGCCGGCAGTCTCCATGCCCCATGATAGGCAGAGACCCCGCACCACCCATCTCTGAGCCGGCGGTCTCCACACCCCGTGACAGGCAGAGACCCCGCACCACCCATCTCCGAGCCGGCAGTCTCCATGCCCCATGATAGGCAGAGACCCCGCACCACCC